CATAGAAAAAAAATGATTTTGCTGAAGTATCTAAAATATTTAGCTAGATACAAATCTGAAAATAATTATATAGGACGCTTAAACTGGTTGCTACAATATCAAAATATTTTACAGCATTACTCATCATGTTAGAAATTTCAATTATTAGTCAAAAATTTAATTATTATACAAAATTATATTTTTTATGTGGCTATGTTTTTAAATGTTTCAGGAAAATTGTTTCTTCTTTATACTTTCATTCGGTGTTCCCGAAGAATATTCGCTTCGTCATAATTCTAAGAAACATACTTACATACCAGAGGTACAAGATTGTTATATGAAAAATCGCTCAGATAATCTACTTCGCGTCGCATCTTTATTTCCGGCCAATTGATCTAGCAATCCTATCATCGATCTGTCAACGTGTGACAGGCCTGTCATGCGCGTCATGCGACGCAGAAATCGCTTCACCGTAAATCTCCTCGCCCACCTCGTCATCGTCATTCGCGTCGCCTCGGTGACGCGTTCGTTTCGTGCGGCCAATTTCCCCATTGCAACTTTCTTCGCGAACGGCGAACGCATGACCGCTCCTCGCCTTCGTTCCGGCGGATAGTCGCGTGTATCAAAGTTCCGATCGATCAGCTGCGTCGCGAATAACGAGTTCTTTATTTCGTTTCGGGAGTTTCTCCCATGAGACGTCCACTTCGCCCACCTTCGTATCGCGATCGATGATCGAGAGGACGTTCGTGGTAAAGGTCGCGATTGCGCGAGTGAATGATCGCTTGAAGCGATCACAAGTGACACCATCGAGTGGTGCACGTCATCAGTGAACCATTGCGACAATTTCTTCAAGAGTGCATTTTGCGGTTTTGGGGCCGGCAGAATCGAAAATTGCTGTCTGCGAGAAGAAAGTGACTTTGAGAGACGTAAAGGTATGTGGAATTGCGGAGACATAAAGCGAAATGAATCAATAAACAATAATTGCAAGGCAAGTAATCTTTAAAGTTAATTAGACAGGTCGATGTGCCTCTGTGACAATAATGGTGCGAAATGCTGAGTAATAAATGCATCTAAACATTTTTATTTTTATAAATGGTACTATTGATGAAATCTATGTTAATGTCATCTTTGCGATGAGCATTTAAATTCAATTTTACAAGAAGTGTTTATTTATATTTTAGTTGATCTCATAACAACTTTCGTTAATTGATTAAATAAATGTAAATTATTCTTGTTAATTTATATAAAATTTATATAAGTGAAAATTATACATCGCTGATCGATTAAATTTCTCGATTAAATTACAAGAAAAATTAGGTGCGTGAGCTGAATTAATTAAACACGAAACTTAGCCATGTCTTGATATATTTATTGCAAGAAATATTTTAAATTTACTTAATTAAGAAAAAATTTGACAAACGTGACAAGAAAGATATCGTGAAAGTTGACATCCAAGTGCATTTAAGTTTCGTGTGTGTTTTCGTAATTCGTAATCATAAACTGCAAGTAGGTTATTCTTAGAACAACTTGAAATTGTTGCACTCTTCTGTCAGCAAAGCGCAAAGAATGATTACAAAGTTAAATACATTTAATAAATGTATAGATAAATAGTTACAATATATTAGCATTGCTTTTGAAATATGTACATTGTTGTTGAAAGTGCGCGTATGGCGCAAGTTACTTTTTCTCATTCATATGCGACACCACTAGAACGTTCGATGCAATGTTTAACACGTATCTGACACTCTCATAATCGTATCCTGGATCTTATAGATTAATTACGTACAAAAAACAATTGCATATACAAGGATACTGCTATATTATCTCCTTTTACTTCTTGGCCTCATTTGAATTTTTTCTTAAGAAATTATGGCACATGCGTTATGAGAGAATCTAAAAATAAAAATTTCAAAGAAAGAAGATTTGTGAATATGACAATCCATTATTCCCATTACACTTCCGACAAGATTTCGATTCTGTTTTTAGGGAATGAATCATACATATGTATCTTTTTATGTAAGCCGGACTTCACGTGAATAACGCGTGGGATTTTTTGCTTCCCTTTTTACTTTTCTCCTGCAGGATTATCGAAGTGTGTTACTCTCTCTTCTATTGGAAAGTCACTCGATGTTTCTTCGGTTGCGGTTGAGATGCCGTATTCGTATGAACGTGTGTTCGCCGCGTGGCGCCACACTTCATGATCGGCTGGACAGTCTGACTACAGAATAGTCTTACTACTTAGGCAGCTAATAAAGCCATCATACAACCAAACTAATTGATTTTAATCGAATACTCTCGGACTCTCGGAAATAAAATATTCCGGTGGAAAAATGATTTAATGCTTTTCTCTCGATTTCTATCGATTATATTGATATTCATGTATTTTATGCTAAACAATTTTATTAATTTAATCTAATACAAATTTTTAATGGCAATCTTTTATTTTGAAGTTAGATTATTGTATTGTTAAATAGTTGTTTGTATCATATTCAATTGCGAAAGACTATAGTGTTTTAGTGCATTTTTGACGACCTGATTTCATCATCATATAGCGGATATAAATGGCGATTTTAAATGGCAACGAAAAGAATCCATTGAGCAATTGTCCTAAAAAAGTAATGGCTAATTGATACAGAACATATGTTTAAAATAGATTATCGCTGTTTTAATTTACATTTATAAATGCAATCCTAAATCATATATTCCAATCGTATATTCCAAAGATGCATTATCCAAATTCTTGATGTTAAGAGTATTTGAGGTTCTCGACAAATTTGTTTTCTCATAAAATTTTCTTATAAAATTCCGATTATTTGGAATTGTGCTATTTATTGCACTCAGGAAATAACAAAAATATATCATGAAAATTGTTAATCTATCTGTATTTAAATGTGGAATGTCGGAAACAATTAAATTTAAATATATAACTGTAAGTTTTATTGAGATATTTAAGTTTAATTTAAAAGTTTTTATTTTTTCCAATTAAGCGTCAAATAATTTATAAGGATTATTTCTGCGAATTACGTATGTGCGCAATATGAACAAATTTAAATTTTTTCCTGTTTACTCCAAAAGAGAGAATATCCACAAGAAACATGAGGGTCATCTGATTAATTTTAATCAATTACTACATGCTGCATTTCTAAAAGTGCATTTGAAATTGAAACGCTGCCTTTTAAATTTTGGTCAAGGCAAAAGGAGAGTTTATTTTAGTTAACAGCTCTTAAGATCAAACCAGTGAGCATGATAATTACGAACAAAATCTAATGCGTATAACGATAATTAACTAACAATTAAAAAGATTGAAATAATTAATACGATGTTAAAGTAACATTTTCTTAATTGTTACAGTTTCCCAACTTTTTGTTGGCAAATTGTCAAAGATTACAACATGATACAAATATTGTAATACATCATCTCTTTTATTCGCAATTTCTAAAACGATGTGTCAAGCACATTTTTGCAATACGCAAAATAACGAAAATAAATGGCCCAATTTGAATAAACTATTTCTTACGTAAACTATATTCTCTAATTTCATACGTAAGATAATAGCTTGAGAAAGTTTGAACATAAATCATAAAACTTTAAAATTATGCAATAAAAGCATTAATATTTGTGCATATTACATATGCAAATTTTCAATTTTAGATATTCACACAACTGAATGAGAGAGAGAATATTAAAGTGATTTAGCTCTTTTTGATTAGCTATTATCTTAAACTGTGTTATTGAATATGCATTCTATTGAGTTACACAGCACCTGTTGTAGATACGTTGAACTACATAACTAAAAGTTATGTAGTTTCTATATTACTTAATGCTATATCTCTTCTTTTTACTACTTTGGGAAAAAGATGATATGAAAAAATCAATAATATCTTTTCTGATGTTTCAGATTTTATTATTGTTTATGCATGAGCGTGATGATTATTGTAAGATTGGCCATTAAATTATGAGTATCGATTACTATTGCCATAACAAAAGAAATAACTAATTCAAAAGTGGAGAGACTTTGAAACTGACTCATCAATCCTTACAAGTCTGCACTGTAAAAAGAATGTGTAAAATTACGTAAATAATATGTAAAAATTATACAATATTTATAATGGAAATATATAAAATTGTTTTTACAAACATTAATATTTTTACTTCTGTAAATATATTTTTATATTTTTAAATGGAAGATATTACTATATATAACAATATAATCTATTTTATAGTAATATAAAATTTAATAATTTAGTAATTTTTTTATAATAATACAATATTTTATATATATAATAATATTTATATATATAATAATATATAATAATACAATAGTAAGTATTTTTAATGTAAATGTACACATTTTTGTAATATTATACGTACAACATAACGGTAAATAACATAAGACATTATATTTGCGCTTTTATATTTGCGCTTGTTCACACATATCAATAATAACTTAAAAAAACTGTACATAAATTTGTCAGCAAATTATTATTTAAATATTTTTATAAACATAATTTTAGTTGTGTAAATTAACTTTTTTGTAAATTATTTAATTTTAAAGAAGAATGATTTTATTTGTAACTTTTCTTACATGTAAATATACATCTTTAGTAGTGAGTTCAAAAATTATTCATTATAATCGTTATAATTTTACATGAAATCTTTTACATTGTGTATGATGATTGTATCTAAAAGCGACTCTTTCGAATCGGACTTTGACCTTTGTCAGATATAAGTAGCAGTAATTTGCGAATTTGCAACTGTGTAATTCAGTGCTTCACGAAGTGAAGCTGAAGTGTTAGCCGAGAGAGGACGACAGAAGGAGGAGGGTGTCTCATTGGTGAGCGCTGTAGATGATGTTGGCTGCTGAGCGGATTTCGCGAATAGAATGAATTGGAGGGCGCCCCACCTGCGGGAGGCGAGGCTCGCGCAATGAACGATTCTTGATTCTCGAAGGGGCACACATGCTCGCCTTCGTTTCCCCTTCGGCTCCGTAAGACATCGGGACCTCCTTCACCGTGGTCCTCAAACGAGCCTCGCACTCCGCCAGGTACACAACTCACGCATTTGCTCGCTCATACGCACTCGCTGCACCGGCACTCGTAAGTCCACGTAATCCCTTCACGTACGTTCTGCTTTGACTGCCACGTGACTGATGCGCTCGCTAAGATCTCATTGAGTTTTCTATTCTATTTGACGAAGGAATCTGTTTGATTTCAACGAACTGGTATAAACACGTGTTAAACATTGTTCTCTTTTTACTCACATTCTTTTCTCTCTTATTATGTATTTAAGCGATTATTTTACAAGCTGATCACTTATCCGTTCTTATCAATTACATCCTACTTACTTACTCGACCAATCATTTATAATTTGACAGTCAGATTAAAAGCTGCTTATTACTAACAAGCCAATTTCTTTGAAATTGCAGTATACTTGACTGACTATTTTATATTCTATAACATATATTCTATAACAGTCTCTAACAGTCAAGTCAACTAAGTGACAGTTGTCAATGTTTATTATTAAACATTTTTACAAGTAAACAATTTTCTTTCTCACAATTTCTTTCTGTGATATTACAAAACATAAATCTTTTTTAGTAGTTGTTGTTATGCTTGGAATGAGTTTTCAAAGAAACATTTATAAAAAGTTTCATAAAATTTCAATTTGCATACATTGAATTTATATAATACGATTTGCCCGCATTTTATTTTCTTCATTTCATGGAAATGTTATCAGTAATTAATTGATAAATAGTTACAAAAATCATCTAGCTAAAAATCAATCTTTAAATGCTTCCAAGCTCGCTCAGACACCCTTTCACTTGAACAGCTAAGATTTACTTTCGATTTTATTACGTATACCGGGAATCTTGCCGCCTTGTCAGACAGCTTTTTTTATTCATGCAGATTAAATTGCAACCAATCTACCAAGTGAAGAAGACACAATGCGGATGTTATGTGCATTTTGTGGATTGTTTCTGGTCATCACCATTGTCAATTGCAATCCTGTTGATAAAAAAGACACGGAAGAAGATCTCAATCCGCTGAACGAAGTAAGTTGTTTATGTTTAGTCTTTCATTAGAAAAAAAAATTTTCAAAGATTATGAAAATGAACAAATCAGAATTTTCTGATTAAATCTATTATAATTTTAATTGAGATAAGATTTAATTGAGATCAGATATCTGATATGATTAGAATCTTCTGATCGTTTATTTTTAATCAAAAAATTTTTTTTAGTGTCTTAAAGTACTGAAACGATCAAAATGTTACATATTAAGATATTAAATGTTCTCTGATTTCTAGTCGTGTATATATCAAGAAAAATATCAGAAGGACGAATTGTACTTCAAATCTTATTTAGAAAGAAAGAATGAAATGGAAGAAGAGCTGCGATCGCGCACTTCGCTAACTCTAATGAAGCGATTTGAATGCTGAAGTACTTGCAGAAAGCTATTGTCGATCTCTTATGTCGAAAGCGAAGTTTTACTATGCTACTATCGCATTTTCTTAGAGGTTTTTAAGAAGTCAAGACACGAAAGACATAATTGAATTACCAATAAGATTGATGTACTTTCCGAAATTAAATGGACGAGAATTTGATAGTCTACGTTGCGAGATGTTGCATTCTTCTTTTTTTTTCTATAAGCGTAACACACCAATTAAATACGCTGTACATACCTTCACTCGATGTAGAATGAAACATATTAGTGGAGAACAAAAAACCAAGTTTAATTTTTAGCAACGAGAGTGAAAGTAAACCTTGAAAAAATTATCTATTCGATAATTTCATTTTAATTGATTGAGGAAGTATGCAATCGATAGGAGAAGTATTTGGGTCAGTACCAAATCTTGTAGCTTATATAAATATTTATCTTGTAGATTAATTCAGGGGAAAGTATACTTTTCATTTTATGCTTTCTTTCCTTTTTTATAGCAAGAAATTATATTTAATTTTGGAACAGAATTGTATATTTATACATTCATATTTAATTTATACTTATCTTTACATATTATTTATATTTACATATTTTAATATTTAATAAAAAATTGATTGAGTAAATATGAGCATCATAAGAAAAAAGATCATTCGTCGTTGTAGAAAGAGTCAAAAGGAAGACTAAAGGAAGGTTATCTCATAATATAACTGAAAGCATTATGTTAGCTAAATCCGTTGTAAAAATGATACAGAAATAAGAGAAAAAGAGAGAAAAGAGACAGAGGACAAGGGATATACGAAAAAGTGAGAAACATGATCCCGGAGAACGAGTTAAGAGTGAAAGTAGTCGGCGCTACCTGTACGAGTTTGAACACGCTAGAGACGGATGAACGCTTGTAACGAAATTCTTTAAAACGTGCCACGTGCATCGATTAACGAATATGTAATGTTGTACATCGTCATCGTTATCGCCATTCGCGATCACGCGTTAATGTAACCGCAATATGATTCCACTTGAGGAATCCGCAGCACAGATCGACCTCGAGTCTAGAACGAAAGCAGCATTGCATAATGAGATTGCATGCACGTACGAAATTACAATTTAGAAAACTACATAAATATTGCGCGAAGTGCGACTGTAATAATTTTCCATTTTTTCTGCCAGACATTGTACTCCGTGTAAATATTTATAAACAAGTTATCTCAATAGTATGTAATGAAATACATAATACTTGACTAATAAATAAAAACGCATTTGATAAAGCCTAAATGAAGGAAACTTTTTCCTGTAAAAACGCATTTCATCATCATCATTTCTTTTTTCCCTTGATTATAAATTTTAGCTTTAATTTGTTACTTCATACTATCTCTTTTAATTGATAATCTTAAAGTAGTTTAATTTTACTGTCTGCATAGGTTTACGTAATCGAAGCTGATGATGCGACCGATGGCGAAAGGGGCGATAGAGACAAGAGAAAGATTGGCATCGGACTTGGAGTATCAAACGGCATCATTAACTTTGTGTTTGACGTAAGAATAATTAATTAACTTTTTTATAAAATCTACATATACATGTCAAAACACCTTGTGAAGCCATTAATGTAGTAATTAATATAATTAAATATGTAATTAAAATCGTACCTCAAATGTAATGTATCTTCAGGACTGGGAAATAATGCGTTACTTGTAACGCTTTTTGTTACTTTATCGCGGTAACGATTATTGCTTTTTTTATCTGTAACAGTAATAAATTCAGCCGTTACTTTTATCATTAATTCCTATTATTAGTTCATTTATATCATTAATTCCTTTATAGCTATTCAATAGATTGCATTATTTTTAATTGAAGAAATATTTCAAGAATTTAAATATAGAATTTATAAATATTAAATTAAATATTGAAAAATATTTTATACTTCATACATTAAACTGCATTCCAATAGTGCCAATACTGGAAATCTATAGTATACATATAGTATATATGTAAACTAATTTTCAATATTGGAAGTAAATATTGAAATGCACTTAATAACGATATTAAGGTTATAAATACATTATAGTTAATAAAAATTTTTAATAAAAACTTTATTTGTAAATTACAACTTGATTTTCTGAAAATAAACATATATTATATATATAATAAATAGGTTAATATAAAAAATTACCAAAAAAGTAGATATAAGTTTATGAAAATAGCGTGTTTTAAAATTAGCTTAAAAAAGTCTTAATATTAATTTTTACAATTAATATTAATTACTAAATAATGTAATTTTTTAATCTATTATCTTATTTTAACATTAAAAATTCTGACATCTATTTTAAATTTCGAACCCTTGTTTTTATTATTACTATTTTAAAAATCTTCATATGTAATGTAGATACAATAAATTGTTACTATTAATTTCTTTAACAAATATATATTTTTGTAGAAAGTGGATTCCTTCATAGATTCAAAAACGAAAGCGCTCGCAGTTCTTGATGATTCTAACAAAGAGAAAAACGCTGTTTTTGGAATCGACAATAAACATTCGGCTACATCAGAGTTCCTCAACAAATTAGTGTCTCAGAAGCTTAAGGCTGCGTCGGGCAGCATTGGGCCCCTCATAAACAGTGCGGCGACATTATTCTCAGGGGCTTCAGCTGGCATCTCGAAGGCTTTGGTCTCGAAAATCGCACCATTAAGTTCGCTTTCTGGCGGTCTTTCTGGTGGTTCAGGTGGAACTGATGGTGCAGGTGCGTGAAATTGTGAGATACTTTCCAATTTGTATATTCGATCAGTTTTTAAGCAGATATTTTTCACATATGGGTAAAAAATTTTCAAATCCAATAAAAGAAAAATCCTGTGATCATATTTCTGGTGAGAAGAATTATTTGTAAGATATTTTGCGTAATTAATATTTAACCTTTGATATGTATAACCTTTGATATGTATCCTTTTAAGATAGCGTTTATTGTAGGACATGCAGATGGTAGCGCAGGATCTTCCGGATCGGCCATCCTTGGCAATCTCTTGACTCAAAAGATAGGTTCTTTGTCGAGCCTGAGCCAAAGTAGCGGCGGTTTAGGCAGTTTAAGCGGCGGTAGCAGTGGTACCGGTGGGAGCTCCGGAAGCGATTCTCATAGCGGAAATAATGGCGGTACGAGCGCTGGCGCTGGGATCAATCTCGGAGCCTTCGCCAATCTAGCAGGGGTAGGGTCGCAATGAGTTAATTTTACTTTTATTTCTATGAACTATTTCTTTTTTATACTTTGGAGTCCCTTTACATGTCGTCCCTGTTCTATGTCTGATATATAATGCAAGCTGTCTCTGCTGGAATATGTGTCTCCGTAAGAAAGCGGTATATGTATATTACTTTAAAAATATGGATAACATGACAGTTTTTTTCCTAGAAATTGATCGGTGAACATTTTTTGAACTTAACAAACTCGGACGAGGGTGACTGATGGCGACGTTGCATGTAAGGCTATCGCTATTTGCAATGATAATAATTCAGTGCCATATCATAATCAAATAAATTTTTAATAAATACTTTTTTAAAGTATTCATATTTTAATTAGCACTATACTATATAAGAATCCTTAACTATTTTTATCAGTCTTTTCTTTTATATATTTATTCATTCATTTGCATTTTTTTCATTCTTTTGATTACTATTGCTTATTTTCTTTGATATATCTTAATTATTAATTTTTCATTTTATTAGAAAAATGTAATACATTTAATAAAATTGTTAATTTTGTATGGTAAAGCTTTAGTTTTTATATAACAATTAAATTTTATATAACAATTAAATTAATTGCATTCAATAGACAAAGCAGTTTAATGAGCGCTTATTAATTTTTATTACGATTGGATTTTATTATACTTAGATCTAATGAAGAATTAAAGATAAGAACCAATTACACACACACACACATTAAATCACTGAGCGCTCACTGAGCTATTTTGTTTTCTGAATACGATTATTATAATATTAAAAGCATGCTATTTCTATATTCTATTGTTGCTTCCTAATATCTTTCTCTGTTCCTTGAAATGCTACCATTATATATAAGCAATATAATTAAATAAAGAACGTGCTTTGCCAATCCCATCGATACGCTTCATTAAACCTTTGGCTATACGGCTAATCGATGTTGCCAAAATATATCCCTTTTAACCTTGGAAGGCACCTTCACGAGAACGAAGCCTTCCGATAAACTATATGCGCCACTAAAACAAGTATTGTATACAAACAGTACGATTATACACCACCACAAGCGGCATATTAAGCGGCTTAAAGGCAGGTGCGATAACATGGGATGCGGAAAGGGAACATTTGACTGCGGACATTAATACCTGGACCAACGAGCAGCATTGTGTGAGAGAAGAAACTTCTTTGGAGAAAGAAAAGCGACAGACAACAAACGAACGTTAAATATACCACGAGAAAATGGGACGGACAGTCAATGGATTTTCGATGGAATATGTGGGCGATTTCACTTTCAATGGAATACATTGGCATTCCATATAACACGGAATGTGAATTTCTGTTTCTAGCTGGGCTGATAATTGGCAGAACCTCCTTTCTCTCTTCAGAAGCCCTTTTATAAAATATTCGTATTTAAAGAATCCAAATGAAAAATTAAGGAAAAAGAGAGAAACAAAATTCTCCAGGAAACTCTTCTGATGAATCAACACTTCCGGCCGAATCGTGTGGATTGCGCTATGTCTAATATAAATTATAGAAGAACTAGCGGCGTCAATCGATTTGCCACCATGAAAATTGTAAATAATTTAAGAGTAGCCTTTAAGGGTGCGATAAACTCGTATTCGAGGACTATTAGCTATGTGTAAGCGATGTAAATAGTACATTCAAATGCTCCTTGATACGTAAAGCAAAATGAATACAAAAGATAGTGATGATGGTGTGATATAATGTTGATGTCAAATAAAACGTACAATTATATTTTTGTCTACTATATGAAGTGAATTTTAGAGTATCATGAAGTTCCTAATGTATCCCTTCCTGCATATCTTTATTATATTTTAGGATTTATATACATTCATTTTGATATCTTTTAATCTATGTTTTAATCTACGTTTTTTTTTAATTATTAATTGAATATTAATCTTGTAATTAAAATAAAGAATTA